GAATAGTACCTGAACCCCAAACATAAGATGAATAGACTTTCCATAAGTGCCAACAGATATTACCTAGTAGATTGTGCTTAAATATATCAGAGTTTTTTTGAACCTGCTTCAATCCACCATAAAACGAGCATTTGTCTGACTGTAGTTGATCTAGGAGCACCAATATCAAAGACTCCCATAAAATATTGCCAGATTGTCCTTGCATAAGAGCAAGAAATAAACAGATGGCTAGAGGAATCCACATGATTATCACATAAAGGACATCTTGATGGTTGTAATACCAAATTAATCTCTAAAGATTTTCAGGAAAAGCTAGATAGCAGTTCACTAGCTTCCTTAAAAATAGTTTAATCACCATGTGTTGATGTTTATTCCAGATCCAGCCGTCTGCTGGAATTTGGAGCCTTCGACCATGGTGCCGAAGGCATCCGTATGCGTACTGTGGGTTCCTTTTAAGCTTAGGCCGCTGTGTTTGGGCCTCATGTGCTTCCTGTGCCTATTGGGCCTGTGTTGGAGGAGTAAGAGTCTGTGGGCCGGGGTCCCTGGGCCATATACTCCATCAATGTCGATGATAGTCTGGATCCTCTCTGGATTCGCCTCAATGCCCCTTCGGCTAACCATGTAACCTAGGAATTTCCCTCCTTGGACGCAGATTGTGCACTTCTTAGGGTTGAGGCGAATGTTGTATTTTTTGATAATGTCAAAAAATTTTCGGAGGCCGTCAGCATGTGTGGATGACTGTTTGCTCTTGATGATCATGTTGTCAACGTACGCCTCCATTGGCCAAGGATGACTCTGAATAGCTTGGCCACAAATCTGGTGTAGGTGGCGCCGAAGTTTTTGAGCACCCATTTGGTAAGAGGGAGATCTTGATTTCGGTTCTCAACAAGAGCACCAAATGATAGACTATAGGTCTAGAGAGAAGTGAGAGCTGAAGATAAAAAATTCTTTGTAATTAATATTTCTCAACCCCCTACAACTGCCCCCAAGGGAAGTATTTATAGAAACAATGTAGATTGGGCTCCACTGGGCCTGGGAGTCTCGATACAACAGTGAACCACTAATGGGTTGATTACATGAATTCATTGAGCTAAGTGTGAGGTAAGAGGTTGGTGATGGGGCATTTGGCCGAGGGAGCCTTGTGACGAGCACTTTGTCATAAGGCGTCAAAATAAATCGATACTAACACTTATACGTAGTATAGTGAAGTAGAGTTCGTATCCACAAGGAAAGGAATAATTCTCTTTGTAATAAAACTAGTAAATAAAGGGGGGGATGAGGGTTGGGATTGTTGGAATTAATTTAATTAAACACTAAAATGAACAACTTATATGTGATTCAATTCAAGAATAAAAAGGACTTGACCTTGCTACTTTCCACTTGTTGATATATTTAGTCGATCATTGTTAAATCTATAACTTATCCCCTCTCGAATACTCAATTGAGGAGTATCTCCAATTCATCGAGGGTAGTTATTAACAACGACCATTCATTAATAACCCTTACTATTAGTCAATATAGAATAACGTTGTATACCGATTTAATAGTAGCATTTAATCTCTTAACTCCTTGATGAAATCATTTGAGATTGATAACCTCAACTAGGGGTGGGCACGGTCCGGGACGGAACGGGAATTGGGTTGTCCCGGTACCGAACCCGATTTATAATAACAGTTCGGAACGGGACGGGACAAGGCGTTGTCCTTTTGTTGTCCGATTTAAATCTGTACCGGGACATAACAGGACGGTTCGGGACATCCCAAACAAATGTAATGAAAAAATTGCAATCCCAAAAACAAAGCAAAGTTCTTTCAAAAAATTAAAAAGAAAAACTAGTGCAAGAAAACTCTATGACAAAAAACAATATAGCTAATCTAGAAAATTGTGAAAGAAATACAACTTACCATATTAGCTGCATGAAACAAAAGTTACAATAAAAAAACTCTAACACAAAAACCTATCAAGAAAACTGCAACAAAAAATGATAAAAGAACACTATACGAAGTAAGGCCTTTAGGAGTAAAATATCAATTTCTTTTTTTGTAGATAGATGATACTCCGTAGTTCATAGTATGTGATACTAGGTAGTTTAGAGTTTTTAGGTGTTTTATTGTTAAACAACTTGTATTTTAATAATTATTTTGTATTTTAGTTGTGAAAAAAGGATTATTATTATTATTATTATTTGAATTACATAATGAATTGTGTAGACTCACTAACCTACTATGGAGTATTATACAAAGAACAATTTTGGATCCGGGACAACGGGACGGAACGGGTTATATTTCACTTGTCCTGGTCTCGTTTTGTTTTGAAACGGTTCGGGACCGGTACGAGACAAAAATAATGTGTCCCAAATATAACGGGACAATTTCGGAACGGAACATTCCGGAACGGGCCAACGGGACCGGGTCTTTTGCCCACCCCTACTCAACACAATGGTTTCAGTTTAACCAACACGATTAATCCCTCTTAAGTTTATTAACCACGACCGTGCATTAATAAACCGAAGTTACTTACTTGTGAAACCATCAACGATTAATTATCGGTTCGTTGATCGTTTCTAGTAATAATTAATGTCGAGATGTTAACTAATTGTCATCTTAGCAAAACTCTCCAACATTAATATAGAGATAGATTAAGGGAAGAATTAATATTCAAGGGAAGAAGTTAAGAAAATAACTCACAACTTTAATAATCAAAGGGCTTCAAGAGCAACACCAAGAAATGAGAGTTTAGCTCCTCATTTGGATACTAAACATGCTAGAAAAATATAAGAGATAACTATTCTAAACTGAGCTTAAAAGTATGGAAGAAGGAATGGAAATTAGTGAAGGAAAAATGTGCTATTTATAGGTGATTTTCAACACCTTTGGCCGGGTACCCGACCGGGTATAGTGCCCACCCGACCGGATACCGGTCAAAATCAAATATCTCCCACGTTAGTAGTGTGTTCTTCGGCACGTCCAAGTGGGAGATATTTGATTTTGACCGCCTCGTCTGGCCAAGGGGCCGGGGCCAGCCAGCCGACTGGTGGCGTTTGTCTTTTGTGAATGTGTGGGCCATGGATCTGGGCTCATATACTCTATCAATACTCGTACGGTTAAAATAATAATTGAAGCTTTCGAATAGTAAAGACACACGACAATTTTTTATATATATAATATTCTTAATTGGATTGATTTCACTCTGAGATCAAGACGACAACATACTAAAACAAGCCAGTTCAATGATGCAGAGAACAAATATTGATAATAATGTCATAAGACGATAATAAAATATTATATTGTCCAAGTTGGGAACATCTAGTAACCACATACGAAATTAATATAATACAGATACATCTGAGCATGTTGGCTGGAATCATTCAAAGTGTTGACACAATTTAACACTTCAATAATTGTTAAACTACATCTAGCTATACGGGCAAACAAGCTTTTTTGTGACCTAGCTGGGACCTCATCCAGTTATAATTAGTCCAGTCAAAATTATTTAGTTAATCAAAAAATTTAGTTTCTCCATATACACAATTACTTTCACAAGTCACAACATTCCTTTTTCTAAGAGGAATCCTGATTCTATTTTACATTTAGTTCATGGCATGGCATACTAAGCATGAAACCTATAAACATGTGTATGCAGTGGCGGACCCAGAGCTTTTTTTAAAAAGGGGCACTGCAAAGTGGATAGAAATGGGTCGGGTCACGTCGGGTGTGAGAATGATCTATTCTATTTCGTGCAAACAATTTTTTTAAAGAGAAATATAGTTTATTCAATGTCGGTTCCAAGGAATGCACACCTGTGATTTATATGTCTAGCTTCAACCTATTAAAACAATTCTAAACAGTAATATTCAGTTTTTTAAAAGAAAGACATGACATGGATTACAACTTATTGCATAGTTTATAATTTTCATATTATAAACAATCAAAATTTAACTTTTACAATTAAGACCGTGTCTAAGCGTAAGCAATCATTTCATCATAATTTCATAGTCGTTTAAATGTCTTACAATGATTTCCATACTCTTTGAAGGGATTATGACCTCATTTAATAGTAATACAAATTATTTTTTATCCGGATAGGTGGGACACTATTTTTATCCTAAGTATTAATATTAAAGTTCGGGATCGGAAGCGGGGACACTTGCCCCCCTAGGACCCCCTAGGTCCTCCACTGTGTGTATGTACTACTACGAACATGGCGGTATATTTAAAAAAGTGCAACAATGAAAATTAAAGAGAAAAGTATTTTGTTAGATACATATTGACAAGGTCCTAAAACAGGAGAAATTAAATAGAGAAAATTCTTTAAATAGAATTAAAATGTAAATAAAATGTATAGATAAGATCATCATTGTTTTCTTCCTATAATAGGACTACTAGTAGAGTCCTATCTAATAGAGGTATCCTTTTCATACGATCAAATAAATCATATTTTGGGAATAAAGTTAACATAGTAGTTATTTCTATTTATCCATTTTCCTGAATGTTTTTATCTTATTTGGAATAATTTCTTAATTAAATAATGAGGGCTATGATCCATCCATATATATATATATGTATATATATGGCAGATTATATCAGGCTAGCCTGATGAGAACCATCGTCAGATTGAGGCCATTTGGGGCCCTTCCCGGTAGAATATTTTTTATGATTTTTTTTGAAGTTGTTCTTCATCAAGTCTAGTTTATCGTCATCAAATTTCAGCTATAAATTGAACGAGGAAGACATTTAAACCGAAAATTAAAATAATCCAAAAGAGAAAAATGTAGGGTAGAAAAGAAAGAGGGATTGGAGGGGGTAGTGGTCCACCATGGAGGTGTCCTTGGAAGAGGTGACAATGTAGGGTAGAATTGGAGGGGGCCGCCCCTTAGCTTGATATACATTCCCATGACTAACATTCACTGCTTCGGCCGGCCCCCACACTGCACATGCCTATGTTTTTCTTCGATATACCTAGCTCTTCTTCCCTAGCCTGCATTGCATGCCCTTTAAACTCTCGATCATTTCCACATGACGCACACACATGTATATAGTACAGACTACAGATAGATATTCCCATTCCCATTCCCATTCATCATCTGATCTATCGATCTCATCAATTAAATAGTTTCCGCGCGTCCCCATTCAACAAACTCGCGCGTTCCGAAAGAATTGATCGAATAATATATATATACTACGATTATTATGGCGCTAAAGAAAGGTGGCGGAGGATGCATAAGCAGCGGCGGCGTCATGACCCAACCCGCGGCGATAAAGCAGATACTGAAGAAGTGTTCGAGCTTCGGGAAAAAACAGCAGCAGCAGCAGCATCATGACGGCGGGTACGAGGAAGAAGAGGAGGAGATCAGCGGCGCACTGCCCCCGAACGATGTCCCAGAAGGGCACTTCGTGGTTTACGTGGGGGAGACGCGGCGGCGATACATCGTGCCCATATCGTGGCTGAGCCACCCGGAGTTTCAAAGGCTGCTGCGGCGAGCGGAGGAAGAGTTTGGGTTTAGCCACGACATGGGGCTCACTATTCCTTGTCATGAGCAATATTTCTGCTCTCTCATCTCCATGCTCGATCACATATAGCAGCTAGCTGCGCTGGATCATTCACCAATTCAGATTTCTTCTTTCTTTTTCTCTTCTAGCTCATCCATATATATATATATATTCGTTCGACCGATTAAATACCCACTTTGCCCCAGTGCTGATCCTACCTAAACTCGGGCCTGAGTCGAGTTTCATAAATAGGTCATATACATAGTGTTTTTTGTCATACAAATTCATTAAAATTCAATGATTAAATATCACAAAAACGCTATTTTTAAATTTAAGTGTTACATTTTTTAGAAAAAATGATATTGGATGTATTAAAAACTAATTAAGTACAACTCGCCGAACATTTCTATATGCAAATATATTAATCAAGTATGCATAATCTATGTTATCAATAAATTACTTCTCAACTGATAACATAGCTAATTCATTCAACTCTTTTCAGACATGCTTCAAGATGTACTTTCCGAAGTGCCTCTTTTATTAGAAATTAACTACTACATGATTTTATTTTTCCGGCCTGACTTGAGTTAATGATTCATTGATTCAATACTTGATTTTATTTTCCTCTTTTGAAATCGAGACAAAAGTTTGGGAGCCATGGTACAAATAAGTAAACACATAATTTAGTGGAATGTTTAACAATATACGTTAGTAATTTTCTCTATAAAGTTCAAAGCATTTAATTTAATTAATTGTGAATTGAGAATTCCGTAATTACAATATTGATAACACTAAATAAAAAAGCAAGAATCAACTAGTATTTAATTATACCTTACATTAACATTTAGAAAAATAATATAAAATTAGAAAATTTCTGAAAATACAAACAAATAACTAAATAAGCAGATAAAAAACATAGACAGATAGAATTAACTATAGAACCTGGAGCGTAGAAGCCTAGAAATATAAGTCAAACTGCCCAATGGAAAACAAATAAAAAAATAACTAGAAAATACATATGTATAATACTAATAAATATAAAATTTTGGGCCCCTAATTTTTACAAAATTTTGGGGCCCTGAGGCCCATGCCTCTCCATCTTTACATAAGGCACGGCCCTGCACCCCACCTTGAGAGTTGTCACGGGCATAGAGTCTGACGCAGCCCACAGCGCCCGTGCGGCGTCCCGGGGTCCCTCATCCTGCGGACAAGCCTTGCTCTCATACGGAACCGGACTGGTTTTGCCCTGCCTTGGGCTCATCAGGGGAGCGGCAATAGCTCCCGACCAATTGTGCCTTCATGCCCGCCTCCGTCTCCTTCATAGTCAAGCCCTACATGCCCGACTCGGCCAGACCTTAGCGTCTAAGGCAAAACTCCCCTTGACGCTATTGCCTCCCCCATGCCTCGCCCGTCCAGCTAGCCAGTCGGTCCGTCCCATTCATTGAGCCTAACACAGTCACGAACAACGGTCCGTGACACTCTCCCCCACTCAAACTCTAGCACGCCCTCGTGCTATGGGAGATGACTCTGCCCAAGGATCACCATGCTTAATATTGTCAACACACCTCATCGCCAGGCCGCCTCCCCTTGACGCAGCCCGGCTGAACTGGTGGCCACTCGAGTCCCCATCATCTCAAGAACCCATCCGCCCCTGCGGACCATCAGGAGTAGAGCCGACATCAGCACGTACCGGCCCTAGAGCCATCATGCTCGCATAGTCCTCGTCCCTCACGAGGACCCCACCATTCCACGCGACAATATAAGCACGATCGCTCTGATACCACTTGTCACGGGCATAGAGTCTGGCGCAGCCCACAGCGCCCGTGCGGCGTCCCGAGGTCCCTCACCCCGCGGACAAGCCTTTCTCTCATATGGAACCGGACTGGTTTCGCCCTGCCTTGGGCTCATCAGGGGAGCGGCAATAGCTCCCGACCAGTTGTGCCTTCGTGCCCGCCTCCGTCTCCTTCATAGTCAAGCCCTACATGGCCACATGTCCGACTCGGCCAGACCTTAGCGTCTAAGGCAAAACTCCCCTTGACGCTATTGCCTCCCCCATGCCTCGCCCGTCCAGCTAGCCAGTCGGTCCGTCCCATTCATTGAGCCTAACACGGTCACGAACAACGGTCCGTGACAGAGTTGAGGGGGATTATTAATGTATTATTAATATTATTAGTCGTATGTGTACTATTTCAACGGTAGATGTTGAAATGAGAAGAGTTCAAATCCTAGCTACTTGCTTAATACCCCTTTTTCATATACTCCGTAATCAAACATGTCAATTTTTTTTATATAGCCTTTAATCTCATTACAAATCCCATTCACATAAATGAAATAACAGTTTGGTAAGTGACATAAAAAGTATTGTTGTGACAATTGCCCAGTTTGCCCCTATCTACATGCTGCATGCAGTGTATATATAGCCCACGACCTACTACATGTTGGAACTAATCTTGTTATTAGTGCTAGATCATTAGTGTTAGTCTAATTTGGGTCAATTAGTTAATTAAGTTGCACATTAAGTAATTTGCATTTAGTGTTATTGAGTTAATTACGCATGCATGTTTAGCATGTTTGCACTATAGTGCGTAGTGGGTTAGTTACTCATGCATGTGTGTAGTGGATTGTAACCACCAGTACTACGTAGGATGTATTTTCATTGTTTATAAATTGAGAATGGGTGAATCAAAAGCTTTAATGCTTTGACCACCACCAAGAGAAAACCACGAGTTCATTAGTCACACCATTCGTTGTTTTTTCTTATGCATGTACGTACACATGGAATGAATTTTAGCATATCCATCATTATTATCTTCTTCCTCCTTTAGCAAATCCAACATTTGGTATCAGAGACTTGTTTGTCGAGGTCCGAGTCTCCATCGTTGTCAAGCGGCGCCACGACGACGGAGAAAGGTAGGCTGCCCGGTAAGTTGCGCCACCGGCGGCAAGGGGATGATGGCCAAGGTGCGGACGCCATTGCCGTGAAGAGATCGTCATCCATGTGTGAGTCGTTGACAAGATGCGGCATCGACGACAAAATGAAGGCGAGTCACCGGCGAGTTGCGTCACCGGTGGCGACCATGAAAGCGAGTCATCGGCGAGTTGCGTCACCAGTGGCAAACATGGAGGCGAGTCACCGGCGAGTTGCGTCACCGGTGGCGACCATGAAAGCGAGTCATCGGGGAGTTGCGTCACCGGTGGCAAACATGGAGGCGAGTCACTGGCGAGTTGCGGCACCGGTGGCAAATATGCAGCAGCGAGCGTGTCACGACGGCGTGCTCGTGGTGAAAGCGTAGGAGGTGCGTCTCTTGTCGAGGCCAACAGCGACATCGACAAATCGGCGCGGGAAGATGGCAATGGCAGCCGTCTACATGTTTGCACCGACGAGATCGATGACAACGGACTTCAAGAGAGAAATAAGTAATAACAAGATTAGGGAGGTGATTGTTGGAACTAATCTTGTTATTAGTGCTAGATCATTAGTGTTAGTCTAATTTGGGTCAATTAGTTAATTAAGTTGCACATTAAGTAATTTGCATTTAGTGTTATTAAGTTAATTACGCATGCATGTTTAGCATGTTTGCACTATAGTGCGTAGTGGGTTAGTTACTCATGCATGTGTGTAGTGGATTGTAACCACCAGTACTACGTAGGATGTATTTTCATTGTTTATAAATTGAGAATGGGTGAATCAAAAGCTTTAATGCTTTGACCACCACCAAGAGAAAACCATGAGTTCATTAGTCACACCATTGGTTATTTTTTCTTGGTAGATTCTATGGTACCCATAAGGTACCATACCTTTGTCCACATGGACCAATGACAATGTAGCAGTTGAATTATTTAAATCTAAACTAAAAATGATAAAGTGATGTGGTCCAATCAAATGAATGATAGGTACGGTATCTCATATTTTAGAAAGGTACCGGAGTTGTCACCTTTTTTCTTATGCATGTACGTACACATGGAATGAATTTTAGCATATCCATCATTATTATCTTCATCATATATACTCCGATCCGTACGTAGTACTACGTATGTAGCTTTTTTCTTCACGAGGTTGATTCCTAGCTTTGACCCGGAGAATGTATCATGTATGTATTGTATGAATGTATATTTCGAACATTTTTTTTAAGAAATTAAAGACTGGATATATGTTATACTCAAGAGTACAACTTTTGTTTGAAAAAAAACTTTTATTAAATAAAGGTCAAGAGTACATGAAAAAATCAAAAGGAAAAACAGGAGAACAGAAATAGAGAAACAACACAAAAGAAAATGGCTCCTAACTAATAGTTAACCGAACCTAAGTGTGAGATCCTCCCTAGAAAACTCATAATTTTGTCCATAATGTCCAACTCCATATATACCAAATACTTCCTCTTCTTAAGTATGTACACCCTCTTAAAATTTACATTATTCACATGTCTTACTTTGACTATGATTTATTTATTAATGTATTAGTACATTATTTTTATAAGATAATTTTAAATTTGTGTCATTGTAAAATTTCAAAATCTGATTTTTTGATTTTTTTACTAATGCAAAATAATATGTACTCCGTATTAATGGTCAAAGTTGTGCATCATATCGGTAGATGTGAAAGTGGATTGTTGTACTTCTTTAAGAATGGAGGAAGTATATGTTGAAAATGAGCTACAATTTCAATTAGGGGTTCGCACGACCCAGGTCAGTCCGGGTAGTTGATAAAGTTTCAAAAATTGTTGGTTCCGTTTAACGGGTAGCTGATTCAGTCCGAGAATATTAAGTTTCAAAATAGGAACCAGACCTTATGTGTCCCGTTTGAAATGAGTCCGTCCGATCCGGGTTCTCAATCCTTTATTGTATTAAAAAAAAAATATAGCTACGCTAGCAAAGTATCTAGTAAGTAAAAACATTATCAAATTTAATAAGTATCAATATCACCGTAATACAATAAAAAATCAAAATATAACTACAAATTTATAAATCAAATAGCACATAACTTCACAAATTAAATAGCACCAAAATTTGAAATGTAGAAAATCAGACATCATCACCCATAAACTAAAATATAGTACCACAAAGTTGTAAAAAATTAAACTAGTCACTATACATATGTGTCTAAAGAACAATAAAAGCTTAGTAACTGTCAAAACTTAAGTGCTATTAAAATAATTAATTGAATATGTCACACTTCATTAAAATAATACGGAGTATTTGTTTACAAAAAAAAGATTAAGTAAAGGAAATTTGATGCATTGAAATAG